TTGTACATATAACAAATCTTCTCACCGGGCCAGGAGGTCCACCATCTACTCGGCCATCGATCCATTCCTCATAGTTGGTGCATCCTTCATGTGAGGCTCTAATACCAACTGGTGATCCGACACCAGCATCGAGCGCAGGGTCAGTGAAACTGGACTGAGAATGCGAATGTGAATGTGACTGGGACACATTCGTCATGCTGTCCTCTCCAGATCGGGATGAATTAAACAGACGAGCCAAGGTATTGCTAAATTAAACACCACTGATCAATCTACATTTAACGCGCGCACCCCTTCACAACTGAATCGACAGGGCGTGCCAGGTGGCCCGGATTTCGGCACGCAGCCAGCTCGTTTTCCAATGGCCGTTGCCTGGTCAGGCGAGCAATTATTGGGGGGGGGGGTGATTGAGCTGGCGTCGCTCCAAAATCCACATCACACTGACACGCCCCATCGATTGGGTTGTTGAGGACTATGCAGCCATTTTCCAGTCTGCAATTGGTGACAAATATGATTTTTAAGGAATTCACCTTTTTGGTAAAACACCCGAATTTCCGTTGGATAAACTGGTGTTGTGTCGGGAATTCATATCAGGTGTTGACACAGTTGTTGGTTGCTCAACTTCTAACGATCGATTGAAGCTGAAAGCGAAGTTCATAATGCAGGCAATATTTTTGGAAATTGGTTCAGAATAACCTGCAGCGTGAGGGGCCTGCGACTGGTTCCCGCAAAAAGCGCACCAATCATTGTTTTCAGACACATGGCACGCTTAAAAAGGTGGGAGGTATCGCTATCATGAGCACAAGGCACTTCTTAAGTTGCCACCTTGGCCACAGGGTAACTAGGAAACTCTGGGTGACACAAACCAAAGCAGTACACTCATCAAAATTGCTCCCGTTGTATGCGAAAGAAATGAGAAGCATGCGCCACGGGCACTCACGCCATTGCAGCCGACGCTCAAGTTTCAACCGGTATTTATTTTTAGGGCCAGAATAAGAGCTACAAACCCGATATAATAGACTGACCATAAAGGACCTAAAATCCACAAACCAACGAAGCATTCAGTCCCCCATGCCGATTACCTTATACCAGACTTCACTCTACGCTCTATTCTACTTCGATACTGCTCTAGAATAAGGACACTCTTGTGCGATAAACATAGATAGGAGCGTGTACCATGCCTTGGTCGTCGTGCTGCGCCTCTCTACCGAGACAGTTTTCGTTAGTGTATACTCTTATGTCGGGAGAGAAATCGACTGTGAACAGGAATGTGGGCACGTGAAAGTTTTGCAGCTTTGAAAAGACTTGGCAAAACAGTGGACTTCTCACAAAGGACGTGATATGGCTTAGTCGCTCACCCGTTCACCCCCCCCCTTCTCTTCACGACCTCTTGCTAGAAGTTTGCCCACTCCAAACTTTCTTTTAGCCATCAGATAGTAGACATTAAGTGGTTACTCCCGCGGCTTTTTGGGAAGTGCTGTTCTGCTCAGTAGGGGGGGGGGGGATTTTGCATTTTCGCTTTATTAGTACGTCTTTAATAACAAGCATCACTTTGTTGAGATCTGTAAGTTCTTGCGAAGCTGCTAAATGGTGCAAGTTAGCCACTATGGTCCAAGAAATTCGCAGTTGTTCACAACAAGGCCTGTACAAGCTTTGTTGAGTAACATTTGGTTCCCCCACCAAGCCGATCTGCGCCTCTTGGATTTGACATTCCTCTACCCGTTGGCATCACAGAACAATGGGATGAACTTTCTATAAATGAACAATGATGAAAACAATCACACTTCATCATTCAGCAGACGTTTCCCCACGGCTTTTTTTTAATGAGAAAATATCGCATTGTAACCAAATGAAAAAAAATTACGAACAAAAGCGCACCATTCCTTTTCTGATAAACACGGTAAGAAGTGGAACCAGGCACAAAAGACTCGATCCATCGGAATGTGATAGGCACGTGCGGCTGATTGGAACAGTCGCAGTTTCGCCAACACTTCGAACTCCTTGCGTCGTTTCTCGAAATTGATTAACCCTTCTAAAACAATAAATAGATAAACTGGTCTGGATCTGAAGGGGGATCTGAATATTCCTTTCCAGCTGATTCGTCGCATACAGAAGCCGACAGCTCCACCGTTGAAGCGGAAAAGTTCGGTGCCAAAGAGCGTGTTAGAGCGCATTCATACTTGGCGACGCGATCGCTATAATTGCGCCATCGGATCTCTTGAGCGTCAGATCGCGCGCTCTTATCCAGATGTAAGTATGGATTCACAAGTAACTAACGTCTCAAGTGCCAGCGAACTTTTCCGCGTTAACGGTGTAACCGTCTGCCACTGGGTCATGTCATAATGCAGTTGGGGGAAAGAACGCGCAATTTATTGCGCTCCTGTGCGTCTTCCACCGAGACAGTGATGTCATCCCCTACCCAGTCCCAGAATTGGGAGAGCGCAGACGGCCAGAGTTCGCTCGGTCTGCCTTGCGGAGTAGGCTCTGTTTAGAGTTCGCGATGACGCGCGTCAACGCAGCATGGACGAACATCCATCAGCGCAGGCTACAAGTGATGTGGGATAGTGTACGACAACAGGAGGGTACCAGACGGTGTGATTACGCATTAAAATAGCAACGTTACTTTTAAGCGACCGCGCGTTGTAGACCACGCTGTTATATGACGCCTTATAACTCTGTATAGTTCCTTCCTATTCTCCCATACTCTCCCGAAACTAGCGGCCGGCGCTGACCCTCCCCTGAATATATTTTGTACACTGCGGGGAGGGGATGTAGCTGCGGACTCCAATGCGCGTGTAGCGGCGGTCTCGAAAATTTCTGCTCTTTCCTAGCTAGTACTGTTGGAATTGGTCACGTTTCAGTTTCATTATGGGTTGTCATTAGGTTTCAAATGCAAATAGCAAGACTTTTCGTTGGCGGAAACCAACAACTTTTCCAAGAATGAGCCCTGCGCACCAGGAAAATTGCAAGATGTCTCCTGAAGCTAGCGTGCATATTAGAGCTTCCCCAGCAGGAACCCCGACACGAAACACTAGGTGAATCTCACAAACGGCTAGAATTTTTGAAATTCCTCCCCTTTTTCCGGTACAAGGTTGGACTACGACACTAATAATTCTTTTGTGGAACCTCTCAACCAACCTTCTTTTTCTCAGACCGAAATCCCCGCAATATACTGCCTTTGTAGCGATAAAAGAGTTCCTTCCCCTTGACGAGAACACTTACAGCACTAATAGCCCGTCGTCAGTCACAGTCAAACGAACGGAACTGGTTTCCTCTCCTAAACCTCTTGAAATCCTCGCTATGAAGGTTAGTTTGAGAGCTCGAAAAACGACCGACGTCCGCTAGTTCTCTGGAGGAGATGCAAACAAAGCCATTTTCAAAGGGCACCCAAGCGCTTTTGGATGAAGTAAGTAAACGCCCCTAGTTTGCGGTTTGGCGGCGCCGCAGGCCGGCCAGATTACAGGGCCATTTGTGAAAAAGAGGAGCACACATCCCCTTCAAATGAGTAATGTTTCTCAACAGAATACCAAAACATGTTGACCCCTAATCAGTGACAGAATCCTGTTAGCCCTTATGCTTATTACGCCTAAACTGCACTTTGATTCTTTTACTGCTTGCTTCAGTGAACTAAATTCTCTTTTGTAGAACTGTCAAAACCTTAATACCCTTTCTGAGCCCCACAGGAAGCACCAAAAACTGCACTTGCAAAACTAGTGCCACAAAGACTCGTTCAGTCGCCACTCTGTCACATGCAATCAGGGCATATTGATCGATTAGTTCATTGTCGTGGACGTTTCAGACCATAACAACATATAAGCTGCCCGGCAGGGTCGCCCACTTTTCCTAT